TCCGGGTGTGGACTTGGAGAGCGATGACCAGGCTGCCTTGAAGGTGCACGTGGTCTAGATGACCGGTAGCGCATAGGCGATGGTGACCGTGACCGGTGTTGGCGTAGAGGTGGCGAGTTCTGGTGCGTGGACAAGTACTCCTTAACCTCCGCTGGTCGTTCGCCGTTTCGGGGGCACGGTGCATACGACGGGAAGCCTCTTAATCCAGCCTGCCAGTAAGGACAGAATCTGTACAAATGACCCGCTTCCCCACATTGAAAACACAGAGGCCTGCTCTCGTGATCACGCCAGACGTCACTTTTTCTGGGCCTAGGCTCCACATAGTGATGTGTGCTACGTGCTCCTGGGGGCAGATAGGTAGCTGTTGCTTCCCGTGGACGAGGTGCGCTGCGTGCCGCAGGTGGGAGAGGAGTCGTCGCCATCGCAACTGCTGCATTTCTGTGTACCGTGGGTTGTCTGACAACCTCAGAGTATGTTCGGATAGGTCGAACCGGCTGCAGCTCACGCTCTGGTTCTCGTATCACCTGCCTCAGTTCGTCACGAACAACGTCCGTAACAGATAGTGCAGTTGTAGTCTGCAACATTTGCAGTCTGCTTAGTTCTTCCCTAAAAACTGATCTAATTAGCTCTAGCAGGGCTTCAACGTCGTTTCGCACACCTCCGGAGAATACCTGTGCAGATGCGCAGTTAAGATTCCGGTTGTACTGCCGAGTCTGCTGTTTAAGTGTTTTTTCGATGGCCGTCGCTTCCGAATAAAACTCAGCAACTGTGCTTGGAGGGTTGTGGACGAGAACGGCAAACAGCTCTTGCTTCACTCCACGCATTAAATGGCGCACCCTCTTATCCTCAACCATGTTGTAATCCACACGCTTGAACAGACGGACCATGTCCTCAATGTACATAGCAGCACTCTCGTTCGTGAGCTGGTTCCTCAATTGAAGAGCTGCCTCCGCCTTTTCTTTCCGGTCTATGTTTTCGAACGTAGCCACCGCTTGTCGTCGAAATACCTCCCAGGTAGACAACGAGGTTTCATGGTTCTCAAACCATGTCTTTGCGAAGTCTTCCAGGGCGAAGTATACGCGACGGAGCTTCTCTCTTTCGTCCCATCCATTCAAGCTCGCTACTCTCTCGAACAGGTCCAACCAATCTTCAACATTCTCGTACGAGTCGCCGTGGAATACTGGTGGCTGGTGCGGTTGGCTAATGAACACTTGTGCCAGTGTTACCTGGCTAGTCATAGTGGTGGCATCCATCGTTTGATTTCCCCTTGGTGTGAAGTGAAGAAAACTGCACTCAGGTGAGTCACCTCGAAGACGGCGACTTGCCCTCTGGTGTACAGGAGTCACTTCCACGGGGTTGATACGCTGGTCTTCGGGGCTACGCTGTCTTGAACTCGCGGGACTTCGATTCATAACCCAGCACGTCTACCAGAAACGTAGCGATGCTGAGGCCGACAGGTTAAAAAAACAAGCGTCTTTATTAGGGCGAACTTGTGCCCACGATTCTAAAGACTATGGTTGTCAAGTCCGAGTAGCCGAGTGGCACAGATTCAACTATCTTCCTCTTCCTCGTTGTTGGTGCGCACGAACGCGTGGCGCATGCCAGCCGAGCCGGGTATTGCTGGTGCTGGTGCCACGATGATTGTGGCGGGCTACTTTAACGTGGCGAACCTGTCGCAGCAATATATATACGTGTAGCATTTTAAGAGCTTACTATCCTATATGCTCGGAGAACGAGCCACACTAGTTAAATGGTACATTCGAGCCGTTTGACACACTGCGCCCAAAATGTTCCTTAATCTAGAAATGCGTGCATTTCTGTAGTATTCATATTTCTTCTATTTCTTATATTTTAGTAACACTTAGGAATTTTATCCATCCTCATTTCCCCTGTTCTCACTTTTCGATATCACCGAGCGTTGAATAGTGATTTGTGTCCTGAGTTTTCAACGCAGGTCTACTTCTTCCTTTCCAAATGTTTATGTCTAACAATATTTGACATGTTCTAATAATCCCATTTCACAAATTGTGAAATCATCTACTTCCTTTCCCTCACAAGACCTGACATTACGGATATAATTTTGCTCGATTCTGCGTGCACGACCATTTTGTGTATTTTCTTCAGAATATTCAGGTATACCAACGCATCCTAAGTGAATGCAGAAGCTTCACCTTTTTGTAGAATCTAGCTCGAGTACCACCTCACGGGAACCTACTGAAGGTGGTATTTCTTTGGACGCACTGGTGTAAGGCGTTGCGGTGACGTCATCCATTTAAGTCCAGACGTGGCTTCAAGTTACAGAGAACTTCTGAATTCGAGAGTAAGACGGAAAGATAGAAAGCACGAGCTTTATGGAACGTGCAGTTTGTGTACAACACCGCACACAATGTCCATTTGCAGCGAAGGGTGGAGAAAACTTTGGTGGCACACGCATGGAATTAAGCAAAGGCAAAAGCAACTGGAACACGTGGAGCGCCTGCTTCTTGGCGCTTACCGTTGGGCTAGTCACGTACTTCGCCAAGAACATGGGCTGTACCACAGTCAGAAGTTCCGTCTCCACTTTGTAGGGTTGGCTTCTATAGGCCCAAAGCGGCAAGATATCACGGATTTTTTTTGTTAGTGTTTGCGTGTTTAATGAAGCGGGAAAGATATAAAGGAAAGAAAGATAACCAGTAGAAAAATGAGTCTTTCTGGAGAGAAACGCAGTTGGCAATACGGCAGTTATCTTTGCGGTTGTTTTGCTGACGTGTGCTGCTGCTATGCCTTTTAACACGCTTATGAATGCTGCGATTCTTGCCTGAAATATAACCAGTGCATTACTGCATAGTCAGTCAGGTAGTCAGCTTGCGTATTTATGTTGCTGACATAAAAATTCAGGCAGCCTTGACATCGTCAGTACAATTCTGAATACAACAATGGAAAAGCGAAGGCCTTCAGATGAATTTTTAAACTTTGCTGGAGTGTATATATATCAACTCATATACATTCTGCACCTTGCTCACCGGCACTTACTTACGGAGCAGAACTTGGAGACTTCAAAGAGGGCTCATAAGAGTTGACTAACGTTAATAATACGTCGAGTTTTACGTCCTGGAATCACGATATGATTATGAAAAACGCCGTCATGAAGGGCTCAGGAAATTTAGTCTGGTGTTCTTTAACTTGCGGTGACATCGCACAGTAGACAGGCTTCTACCATTTGGCTTCAATTCAAATGCAATCGTTGTGGCGGCGATCGAACCCACGTCCTTTGGGTCAGCAGCCGAGCATCCAAGCTGCTGATCCGCCGAGGCAGACAAGCCGCACAACGATAAAAAGAATGGCAACACAACTGTCTATCACGCATCAATTTCTACACGTATGGCGGTAATGCAAAGCTCACTATCTGCTTTTCACCGGATGGTAAAGATATTGTGGTAATAAAGGAATAGTTGTACTAAAATTGTGAAAACTGTGAATCTCGAATCCTTCCCCTCCTTTTTTTCTGTTTATTCACCCGCACCCTCCTTAGCCTATCCCTTCTCCCACTTTCTATACTATACTGTGCTTAGCAATGCCAAGTTTTCTTTCTTTTTCTTACCGCCGTTTCTTTTGATTTGAAACTTTCTTTTTCTTTGTAATTTTTTTATCTATTTAGAGTTCTAAAATGGCTACCATTCAAAGTTGTTCTGCGAGCGAGCTCACTAACGTACTGAAAGTACCCCCGTACGAATGATCACGCGTGCCCTGGGAGCAATGCCAAAGATTGAATAAGGGATAAAGAGTTAATGTGTCAACTTACAGTGTTGGACGGACAATGTTATGAAGAAGTTGTTCATAATTATGATAATATCTTTTCACGACTAACGTACCTTTTTTTGTTTTTTGCGAATCCGCTGCTTGAAAGGTATATGTACGACCAGCTGGTACGTTCACAATGGCTTACGCGTGCACGCAGCCCCCGAGCTGTGGAATTGGTTCAACTGCGCTTTGGCGCAGAAAGAACTGGTTCGACGATTTGCGAATTAGTGGAAAACAAACCGCGAAGCATGTGCGATGGGCTGGCAGGAAAAAGCCTTTGCTTTGGTAGAGCGTGGGAAGCAGAGAGAGGGCTGAAAATAGTGGGCCATAGACGCTTACATCTTATAAAGGCTTTTCAAGTATGCAAGCTCCGGCTTCATAGTCGAAGTTTGTATTGTAAAGATGTGGAAGGGAAGAAACGTGCGCCAATGCCAACGAAACACACATAAAACGAACATAATCGATTTTCGCATAAACAGTAATTTCTGATTTGTCGCACATGGCGTTCCAACGGCCTGAATATTCAACAATGATCTCCCCACCATGAAATGACCCTTCCGTTTGCGGGGCGCGAGCACCGATTTTCTGTTCATGTCGTCATTGAATTCGAGGTGCTTTGAAACTTGGGGGCCTTACTTTTCTACTCTTCAGCAAGAAAGTGCAATAGCAAAAAAATATCATCTATGCACGCATTGCAGACTTCTTTCTGCATCAATTTCTACACGTATGGCGCAAATGCTGGATTCACTTTGGCAGTCACAGCGGCGACGTACGCACGTCATCAATCAACTTGTTTGGATTCTTGCAGACTGGTGCAGTCCAGGTGTTCTAGCCGAGCAGCATTCTCCCGTGTGCAACCACGCTCGTGTCAACACGAGCCAACCTCCTGTGCCTCCCCTGTGCCTGACTGCGCCGGCGCTACGTGGCTACCAGAAGTGGCTCTCGGCGCCTGCGCCACGTGGCTACGGGAAGATCGACATCGACTCACTATCATCGTCTTGTACGACCTTTAGCGACCTGTCATTCGCACGTGGAGCGCTACGGTGCGTGGTCACCCCTGCGCCTGCGCTGGCCTCATCGGAGGTTATATAAGAAAGTCCCCAGCGCACGCGAACCACTTTTGAGCGGCGGCCGTAGGATTCGGACGTCTACTAAGAATCTGTTCTCTCCGCTACAGGTTGGTTATTGTACTATTACCCCAACTCGTGTTGCCTACTCACATGCCGCTGCTCGTCATAAGTGTTGCCTTCTGGTTTTGCTTGCACACCATGCCTACTAACACCGAACTTGCTAAGAAAATCGAGCACCTTGAGTCCCTGCTTCATGCTAAACTTGATAATCTTGTTGATGATCTTGTGCCTAAAATATCGAAAAAATTAGAAGATCAGGGACTAGGCAATCTTTCTGCACTTGCCGATAGTGTACGTTTCATCAGTGACCAATGTGATTCAGTGCGCAAATCTGTAGATGAGCTGGTGCAGTCAGACAAAGCCCTGAGGGCAGAAAATGACGAGTTAACCAAAAAGATTGCAGATATGGAGCAATACAGTAGGCTCAATAACATTGAAATCAAAGGTGTTCCATGTACACAAGGCGAGGACTGCGCTTTTCTTTTGAAAACCATTGGACAAGTGATTGAATGTCCTATTTCATCGACAGACATTGATGCAGTTCATCGCGTCGCCAGTAAAACAGCTGACAAGTGCATCATCGGGCACTTTTGTTCACGCGAGAAGAAGAATGAGTTCCTTCGCAAAGCGCGTAAGGCGCGACTGCGTGCTTTCCAGTTAGGACTATCCGGAAGTAATGACAATCCAGTCTTTGTCAATGAACATCTTACCATTGCCAATAAAAAGCTGTTTAGTAAAGCGCTTGTTCTAAAAAAGGAAAAGAAATGACGGTTCCTCTGGACAGAGAATTGTCATACCAAGGCCCGCAAGACAGAAGACAGCAGGGTATTTTGGATTAATACGGAATCTGATCTCAACTTATTCACGTGACGTTGACAAATTCAGTTCGCTTTTCTCACCTCATAGCTTTCGTCGTGTATCATCAGGTCGTTGCTTCCTTTCGAGGAAACTAAATCCCTCCTTGCTCATTCTACTTGTTCATTGCTGCACATCAATGCGCGTAGTTTGCCAAAAAACTACGATAACATTATTGGATTCACTGACTTACTCTGTCATTCCTTTTCATTTTTATGTATTACTGAAACATGGCTAGGATCTTGTGATGGCAATCTGTATGGATTTCGATCGTTTAACTCTGAATATTGTCACCGCGATTCGGGTCGCTGCGGCGGCTTAGCCATATTTATATCGCCCGAGATAAAGTACAAGCACAGGACTGACCTATCTTTGAATATTCTGAACTGTGAATTTGTATGGATTGAGGCTGCCTTCTCCTTCTCTGTTAATCTAAATAAAGTGATCATTGCATGCATTCACCGTTCTCCATCTTCGTCTATTCCGCATTTTCTACATAATTTAGCTGCTGTACTCGACATTATCACCGCAGAAAATAAGCAAGTTGTTTTGGTTGGCGATATCAACATTAACCTAATGGATACAGATAACAACAGCACCATAGCATATAGTGATTGTTTTCTTGGCTTCGGGCTTGAATCCTTAATTTCATCCCCTACTCGATTTTCTCCCACTGGAACAAGCACGCTCATTGACCGCGTATCAAGCAATTTTTCGCCAACCCCTTGCGCAGGAATCATTGATGTGTGCATCACTGATCATCATCCTGTCTTTGTAACTTTCGCCGTAAACCTACCTCGCCTTAACACGTGCCATTTCATGTCAACCTTCGATCAAGAAAACATTATCAAGGCAATTCAAGGCTCTGAGTGGTCTTCCATTTGCACCTTAGAAAATCCTGAAGAAGCACAAGGCAACTTCTGCTCCCTATTTCTTAAAGCTGTGCATGCAAACACTAAAACTGTCAAATGCAAGAAGATATATAGGTTTCAACGTAATCCCTGGGTAACTCAAGGTTTGTTAACTAGTATGCGAAAAAAAGATAATCTCTACAGGAAAACAAAAAACAGCCATTTATTGTGAATTTGAGACTTAGGTATAAAAAATATAGTAAGATGTTGAATAAACTGCAGAAACAATCAAAACGACTTTATTATGAAAAAGAATTCTGTAAAGCAAGAAATGACCCAAAGGAAAAATGGAAACTTTTCAATGACTTTTTAAACGGAACTCAGGTTAGTAATGTAATTGATAAAATTAGGTATAAACAGCAAATCTGTACTGAGTCCTCTGACATAGCCGAGTCTTTTAGTGATTACTTTTTTGAAATATACAATGATAGGCCCAAAGTATCCTCGTACACCCTTACCCGCTGTATCTATTCATTTTTTCTATTTCCTGTTACCATTGACGAAGTCTATTTTACAATCCTGAGTCTAAAAAACTGTAGCGCTTGAGTAGACAATGTATCGGCGTTTCATTTAAAACTTGCTGCTCCAGACATCTCGGAAGTCTTAAGCAATATAATTAATGTCATTTTTAAACATGGTATATTTCCGAGCTCACTGAAAAAAGCCAAGTTAATCCCAGTACACAAAAAAGGTGATACGATGTCCGTAACTACCGCCCTATTTCTATTTTGTCTTCCATCAGCAAACTTATTGAAAAGTTATTTCTGAAACGTATTAACAAGTACATCAATAAACTGAAGCTGCTAAATCCTTGTCAATTCGGTTTCCGGGCTTGTAGTTCTACGAATTTAGCATTGCTATCATTAACCGATTTCTTGAAAACGTCCATTGACAACGGTAATTTCACAGGGTCTGTATTTCTTGATTTCACGAAAGCCTTTGATACTATTAGTCAAAATATTTTATGTAGCAAGTTAGAGTCCTTGGGTATCACTGGCCCATCCTTGACCTTCATAAAAAAACTACTTTCTTGATCGCGAACAATCAGTCTGCATGGGTGGTGTTACTTCTAATGTTAAAATAATTAATTAAGGGGTCCCACAGGGTTCTATTCTTTGACACTTACTGTTTTGTATCTATATTAATGATTTGCCTGACTGCCTTGATGATTCTAAAGTTATTCTTTACTCTTATGATACGACCATTTCCATGTCGCATAAATCATTACCTACACTGATCAATTTGTTGAACAAAGAACTGACTAATGTCGTTGAATGGTGTCGCCTTAACAACTTAATTTTAAACCCACTCAAAACTCAGTTCATGGTTTTTAAAATATCACAAAAATGCTACTTTTCATTCCACAAATGTTTATTGACAATCATTTCATTCCTGCGTCTAACTGTGTGTGTTTTCTGGGCGTAAAATTAGACCCTCATTGAAAGTTCACCAATCATATTCTTTACGTCAAACAAAAAGCAGCATTTGATATAAGATCACTCATCAAATCTCGTCCTTTTTTTCACCTGAAGCATTATTGTCTTTATACTTTGCCTTCATACATAGTCACATCACCTATGGCATTACATCATGGGGAAATATATATAACACTTATATTTCGTCTGTACAGCACATTCAGAATCAGGCCATTCGCATTAACTAACAGTTCATTTTATTCTAATGCTACCCCACTCCTTCAGGCTAACTGTATTCTTACGGTGTTTGGCTTATTTATTTTCACTTAATCATATTGTTATATAAACAACTTAACAAACAGCTTGTGTTTGATTTAATCGATGCTAGTTTACTCACTAACACCAATAGCACTAGATTCGCCCACAGTCGCAACTTCCTTTTACCTAAATGTAACACCAATCATGGCAAAATGACGTCCGCCTTCGCGGTCATTAAATTGTGGAATAACCTGCCCTAGACACTAAAATTATTATCATCTTTTCATGCATTCAAACGTGAACTTAAAAACTTCATCTTGCATAACTAGGTTGACAACGATGATTACTTAACAATTCTTATGTATCCCGGCATGAAATTGGTAAGTCTTTGCAAATTTAGGTTATTGCTTTATGGCGTGATTATGTTTTAATTGTATAACTTATTACTATTGTTCTTGTGACGCCTTCTGACTGCCTTTTTTGTTTACTTGATGTTATTTTATGTAAGTTCACTGTTTACTTTTAACTTGTGTTGCGTATTTTACGTGCTGTTATAATTAATAATTTTATTGTTATTGTTAACCGAGGGTCCCACTGCAGTCGCTTGACTTTGGGACCCTCGTCTGCATACTACATTCTACGAATTTTGTATTTTGAATGAATGAATAAACTGAAACTGAAAGCTCATTATCTGCTTTTCACCGGACGGTAAAGAAATTGTGGTAGCGAAACACTAGTTGTATTAAGATTGTGAAAACAGTAAATCTAAAAACCTTCCCCTCCTTTTTTCTGTTTATCCACCCGCACCCTCCTTAGCCTATCCCTTCTCCCACTTTCTATACTATACTGTGCTTGGCAATGCTAACTTTTCTTTCTTTTTCTTACCGCCGTTTCTTTTGATTTGAAACTTTCTTTTTCTTCGTAACATTTCTATATATTTCGAGTTCTGAAATGGTTACTATCCAAAGTTGTTCTGCGAGCGAGCTCACTAACGTACTGAAAGTACCCCCGTACGAATCATCACGCGTGCCCTGGCAGCGACGCAAAAGATTGAATAAGAAATAAAGGGTTAATGTGTGGAGTTAATGTGTTGCACGGACTATGTTATAAAGAAGTTGTTCATAATTATGATATCTTCTCACGACCAACGTACCTTTTTTTGTTTTTTGCAAATCCGCTGCTTGAAAGGTACATGTATGACCAGCTGGTACGTTGACAATGGCTTACGCGTGCACGCAGCCCCCGAGCTGTGGAAATGGTTCAACTGTGTTTTGGCGCAGAAAGAACTGGTTTGACGATTTGCGCATCAGCGGAAAATAAACCGCGGAGCATGTGCGATGGGTTGGCAGGAAAAAGCCTTTGCTGTGGTAGAGCGTGGGAAGCAGAGAAAGGGCTCAAAATAGTGGGCTATAGACGTCTACATATCGTAAAGGCATTTCAAGTATGCACGCACCGGCTTCATAGTTGGAGCTTGTATTGTAATGATGTGAAAGGGAAGAAACGTGCGCCAATGCCGACGAAACACACATAAAACTAACATATTCGCCTTCCGCATCAACAGTAATTTCTGATTTGTCGCACGTGGCATTCCAACGTGGCCTGAATATTCAACAATGATCTCCCCACCATGAAATGGCCCTTCCGTTTGCGGGGCGCGAACACCGATTTTCTGTTCATGCCGTCATTGAATTCGAGGTGCTTTGAAACATGAGGGCCTTCCTTTTCTACTCTTCAGCAAGAAAGTGCAATAGTAAAAAAAAATATACATCGTTACACGCATTGCAGACTTCTTTCTGCTTGACATAACACCGCGCGTAAAAACGCCAGAAGCTCATATACGTATACTCTGAAGTTCTCTAATGAGTACCTATTTAGGTACACGTTGGAGAACACCACATTGCCGGAATTTTCAGAATACTCGATAATGACATTTTCGATAGTACCGAAAATGCTATAGAGACCCGTGTACTCAAATTCGGAGCATGGTAAAAAAAGCAGCAGGTCGAGGTTTCCGGCACCCTCGACTATGCAGTCTCTCACAATCCTAATGGTGGTTTTGGAACATTAAACTCCACAGTTATTATACAGTTATTGTAATAAGCGTCAAGCAGTCGAAGAAGAGTCAAGCAGACGAAGAAGCGGATGACACAACCTCATACTGGTTTATGTTATATATAGGGTGGCGCAACTAGAATCTTGAAATAACAAAAAATAAAGAAAACAAGGTATACTGCATCTTGTGTTTTTTTCTCACACTCGGTGACATATTTACTCAATTTCAACATGCCCACAATTACAGCGCGCACCTGGCTTACACGACCTCAACTCCAAAACTCAGCTATGAGACCTATTAATTGTCCGTGCTCTATTATCTATGCTCTGTGTTGAAGTCTTATAATTTTCGAAAGAAGGTGCTCGTTAGAATTGAGTAAATACGGCAGCTGACAACCCACTAATTACGGCTC